ATGAAGAGAAGAGGTGAATTGTGCATACAATCCTTGGAAAACCCCTCTTTTTGCTCTGTTTGTACTCTATTGCAGCATGGTGATCTAATGGATCACTGGCCGGTAATGCACCATTGGTGGCCGGCAGTACACCATCAGTGGCCGGCAAACCACCCTTTTGGCCAGGGCCGGCAACATCCATCCATGGCCGGCAGGCCACTGATGTAAACTTCAGTTGATTTTGGTAAGATGGAGTAGGAATGTTCTGGAAATGCTCAACCCTACAAACAGAGGCTTTTGAGAGCAAAATGAAGGTCTTTTCGGGCCAAAACCGAGCATGTACATCTTCTACTCCCCGAGGCGGAGCAGTGGCAGTGTAGTTAAAAGTCTTAATTTCTTAGTTCGTGTGCATTTGTGTTGTAAATTAATTAATTAGTTTACTAGTTAGTTAAAAGTGTTGTAATAATTAGTAATTAGCTTAGCTAGTTATTCATTTGGTTTGTAATAATTAGTCTAATTAGTTTAATTGGATTAGCTTAATTAGCTTAGCTTAGTTGCTAGTTAGTTAGCACTTATTCATTCGGACCCTCCTTCGCGACGGCGTAATGTTGTAATAAGTGTGTGTGTGCCTACCTGCGTGCATGTCTTCCAACCCCACGTCTTTCTCCCTTTTATTTACCCGCTTTTGATGGTTAGATTAGGGACATGTCTTAATTAGCATACCTTATGCCTTATGCTTGCATTCATTCATTCGTATTGCATGCACCAAGGCTCGACGGATCATTCAAACTGCATTGTTATTTCAATACTTATTTGAATACGTGTTTAACCGCATGTTATCAAATCGATCCATATGTCATATTAGTAGCTGAGCCTATTAATTGCAAATTGTATGTGTTGCAATAGACACTTAACATAGTTCGGAATCATGCATATTTCACTAACTCGTATCTTCTTAGCTTGCAGTACTCGATGAGTTTTTATGCTCTAGCATACATGCATGAATGTGAATGTTACCATGTCTTGCATGCTTACCATGAGGCTATGTGCTTAAATGCTAAACTGCTTGAATGCCTGTGGATGAAGGCTTGTTCTTTGAATTGGAACGATACAACAAATGTGCATTTTAAACTCACTTTGTTGAGTGGCAAATCATGTTTTAAGCCTACTATGTTTGGTGGCAAATTCGCAAACTTTAAGCCCACTTGAGGTGGAAAATTCAAACCATTTTCGTAAACAAACATGAGTTGAATTGTTCCAAATTGAGCAAACTAGTTTATACTTGATTGTGCACATCACGTAGTAATGCTAGTTTAATAATCAACAAAAGCACATAATGTTTATAAAATATCATATCATGATTAGTAGAGGCCGATCTTTGATTGAGCGAGCGAGGGTGCTCAATTCATGACCTTCCCCTCTCGTACCTAAGTTCCTGAGCCAAGGCAACTTTGGTGATGACGGACATGTGACCTTTGGCATGAGTCATGGATTTCCTAAATTTCCTCAAGAATAAAATATTTAGATGGCGACTCTGTATCTGGCAAAACAGTCCAATTTTGGCATTTTTGAGCCTAAAATCAATTTTCTAAAACGATTTTTCGAATTTGGACTCTTTGTTGTGAGATTAGATTCAAAACCACAGAAGCCTGAACTGTAGGGCTTTCTTTTATTCGATCTTCCGAAAGGGTGCACGAAAAAGCCGAGCTACACTCAAACGTAACAATGTAACATTCCAGGAGAAGTCCCTAGTGTACTTTTCCCAAACATAACACTCCAATGTAACATACAAAAAAACTCCATAGTGTACTTTTCTCAAACGTAAAAATGTAACATTTCAAAAAAAAAAAAAAAATTCCTTATTGTGTTTTTTTTTAACGTAACACTCAAATTAATGTTGCACACAAAAGCTGTTTAGTGTATTTTTCAAAATGTAGCACTCTAATGTAACACTTTAATGTAATACTAAAAAATCACACCAATAGAAATGTAAATTTCTACGCTCAACAACTAACACTTCAACCACCAATCCTTCTAATAAGAATTTTCTACACCTCTCCTTTCTATTCCAATCCCAAAAACCAATCAAAAAAATTAGAAAAATGAATTACAAAAGAATATTTACTTAAACTCAAATGGTACTAAATCAAATAAATATAACTTTTCAAAACAAAAAAAAACTAATTTATTCATAAGAAAAATTTTAAACTAAATTATGGATAAATTTTTCTAGGTACTATGCAACTATTTTCAACCCGTTAAATCCTATTTCTTTGCTCGATCATAGGCTGATAAGAGCCCCTTCATTCCAAAAAGAAAAAAAATAAAGGAGTAATTTGGCTAAGGAAGAATAAAAAACCATCAAGCATCCAATCAATGAGAAGATGAAGTCACAATAATATTTGTGAAACAAATTTTCACCTGAAGCTTTTAAAGCCGAGTGTTGGCTTCCACAAAGCAATTGTGTTTATTCCATTTAGTTTGATTTTTCAGAAACTAATTTTAAATAAGTTTTGATTTTTTTCTGGAGGATTTTTTAAAATATTTTTATTAATTTATTAGATACACCTAATTTATAGACATTAAAAAAGTAAAAAAATAAAATTACAAAAAATGTTCACTAAAAATAAATTAAAACTCGAACGAAAATCTGTTTGTTTTTTTAAAGATATTTTCTTTCTTTTTTAAATTTTTTTTTTATATTTTAGTCATTTTTTTTTTTTTTTTTTTTTAACTTTTTTAATAAAGACTGTTTAATTTAAAATATTATTAAATAAGGTAATTTCATAGCAGTAAATTTTTGTAATTTAATTTTTTAGATATATGTTTATTTTAAAATATTATTAACAAAAAAGAGGGTTAGAAATTAAAAATTAGGTTAAGGTAATTTTATGATTTAAACAAAAAATAAATAAAATAAAAGTAAACAATAAAACTTAAAAATAGAAAAGAAAAAAAAATTAAAAAAGGCAGTCATTTAGCACAATATAGTAGAAGAAAATAGAGTGAAAGACAAATTAAACAAATCAATATTTGATTAAATTAAAAAAATAAATAAGAGATAAAAATTAATAAATAAAATAATCAATTTGGATTTTGGAGGATGTGTTAACACCCATTTAATAGTATTGTTTTATATAGTGAAGGGTAAGGGCATTTTGGTCTTTTCGACAAATCATTTTTTTAGGGAAAACTATCAAATGGAGCAATACCTGTAAATAGGGTGCATGCAGTCCACTTGCCGTTTGTTTGGATGGAACAAAAGTATCTACATATATTCAAACATTAGGGGGTCATCTGCAACAAAGGGGGATTGAGTGCTTTTTATCCTTACATTTATAATTTTCACACTTACTTGAAAATAAAGATAAAAATATCATAGAAAAATATATAATTTGAAAAAAAAGATGTCTTACATTACAATTCCAAATATATAGAACGCAACGTATGTGATCACAAGTATTTCCATGAGATTGATAACTAAAGAAGTTGTTAAAAAGAGGTTTTACACTATTTTTCTTTAAATTGAATTGTACTTTGGGTGATTGGAGAAACTTTTTGAAACCCTGGGGGCCCAGCCACCGATTAGGTCTTCCGTTGATTGTGCGAGTCAAGTAACTTTTTAAAACGTCACCAAAAAAAAAATATTTTAATTAATTTTTTTGATATTAAAAATTACAATACACGATCATTGTTTATCAACTACTTAAAAAAGACTGTTCACATATTCTAATCATAAAATTTTTTTGTTAGTTAATTGGTTTAGAGCCCCAATTATCACATAATCAGTATAGGTTTCAAGTCTTATCCCCTTTGAGATAAAAAAAATTCATTGTATGGTATCTCCTAAAAAACTAAGGCACCGTTTGGGAAGGGATTTTATGGGCTTTTTTGGCTATTTTAGCCACAAAAGACAAAAATAGACTATTTTAGCCACAACAAACAAAACATCACATCCAACCCATAATCATTACACTATTCTCTCACAAAAAAAGTCAAAAAAGTTAAAAACCAAAAAGCCTTTCCCAAACCAAACTTTTTAACCCAAACTAAAATAACCAAAAAAACTAAAAAGTCAAAAAACCAACCCACTTCCCAAACTAACCATAAAATAAAAATCAATTTGTTGCAACACAACTCATCAACCCAAGCAAGCAGCTCTCTAGAACCTTTTGACTACATCATACAACGGTTTAGTCTTCCAAGACAGTTGGGGTTGAGTTTTTGAAATTTATTTTTAAAAAACTGAAATCAATTTGATAAAGATAAACATCTAAAAGGATTTTTTTTCTTTTTTCTTTTTTCAATCCAAAAGAAAGAAAATGATGAGTACTTTTTTTATTTTTATTTTTATTTTTATTTTTATGTCACCGAATGAATTTTTGAAAAATTTTCAAAACTATATTATGAAAATTCAACCAAACAGAGTAGTTAGGCAATTCTCTAATTTGGCTTCCGTATTTGCTCAAGATCAGTGAGACACTATGTTCAATCAATTTCTATGTAGTTTGCACAAATTTAAATACTATTCTACATATTTTAAATCTAATTTTATTGTTTCAAATAATTAAGTTAAGATTTTCAAAATTTTATTAATGGTTAAGGGGTTGTTTGGAAAGTTAATATTTTATTTAAAAAAACTAAAAAATTATTAAAAATCTTATATAAAAAAGTTAAAAATTTCTTTTGATTCTCTCTAATTTTTGTAGGTGAAAACTAAAAAAAAAAATTGTTTTCAAACACACTTTCTATATTTTCACTTCATATTTTAATAATAAAAAGTCGCTAAAAAAAAAAAACCTTTTCAAATCATCCCCAAACAGAATTTCTGCCCTTTGTTTACGTTAACAAAAACGCAATCAACGTGAAAACTGATGGAGGAGTAATGCACTAGGAGAAAAGTCAGCATTCACTTTGAAAATGATGATGTGTTCATTATTTATTGGTTAACCGTAAACTAGAGTATTATGGGTAAGTTGTATGGAATTTAATCTCATGGGAATCTTTGCCTATAAAAACCCAAGCCCTGCAAAATTCTTGTAAGTGTGCCCATAAATACATTCACTCACTCCATGGCTTCTACTAACCATTTCCAATGTATTTTCTTGGCATTTCTCTTTGTCTTGGGAGTTTTGTCCTCTCAAGCTTCCTCTCGCCTTCTCAACGAGCAAACCATGCTAGAAATGCACGAGCAATGGATGGCACGTCATGGACGCATTTACAAGGATGTCGAAGAGAAGAATACACGATTTCAGGCATTCAAGGACAATGTTCAACATATAAACGCCTTTAATGAAGGTGTAGACCGAGCATACAAGCTTCGTGTGAATCAATTTGCGGACTTAACCGATGAGGAGTTTCGTGCTTCTTATACTGGTTACAAGAAACAACCAACCAAAGTGACATCTACCTCAAAACCAGCATCTTTTAGGTATGCAAATGTTACGGATGTGTCAGCTACTATCGACTGGCGAGAGAAAGGTGCAGTTACTCCTGTTAAGGACCAAGGCCAATGTGGTAAGCATTACATGATATATATGTATACATATATTTATATCAATCAAGAATTTGAAATACTATTATATATGATTACAGTTCAATGGTATCAGGAGTATCGATTGCTATATATAAAGAATTGGCTCATGTGGTCATGAATATTTTAAAATGATTAGCTACCAAAAAAATAAAAAAGAAGAGAGCCTTGTGACGGTCGAAGCACCTATGTTGACTATAATCGGGTCATGCTTTGAATTAATATGTAACATGAACCTGTTAATACATCATGTCCTTTTGTAAAATAATCATAACCCACTTAATTGTAATTCCTTTTCTATTTATAACTTTTTTATTTATGTATTTATTTATTTTTTTGTGTGGTGCTTATCGTGAATATAGGATGTTGTTGGGCATTTTCAGCAGTGGCAGCCATGGAAGGTATTACTCAACTTAAAAATGGTAACCTAATATCATTGTCTGAGCAAGAGCTTGTTGATTGTAATGTGGATAACAATGGTTGTGGAGGCGGCTCTATGGATACGGCCTTTCAATTCATCAAACAAAACAATGGCCTCACAACAGAAGATAATTACCCTTATGCTGGACAAGATGGCACTTGTGACAGCACCCGAGCAACAACCTCTGTAGCCATGATAACTGGATACGAAGATGTATCATCTAATAATGAGCAGGCTCTTCTGCAGGCTGTGGCCAACCAACCGATTTCTGTTGCCATTGAAGGTAGTGGATCTGACTTCAAGTTTTACTCGAGTGGTGTCTTCACTGGGAATTGTGGCACCAATCTTGACCATGCTGTCACTATAATTGGATATGGAGCTACAAGTGATGGGACTAAGTATTGGTTGGTTAAGAATTCATGGGGCTCCGGATGGGGTGAGAATGGATATATGAAGATCGAAAGAGATGTTGCTGCAAATGAAGGCTTATGTGGCATTGCCATGCATGCTTCTTACCCTATTGTGTGAAATAATGAGGATACTTATGTTGCATTAAGCTTTTATGTGCAAACCTCATGCACAAACCGACTAGCTAATAATGGCTTTCTCCATGAGGGTCTGTCTAGTTTTTCTTCTACTCATGCTTGTATTAATTTTTACAAATGTTTGAAGACGCAAGGTGCTTTTTACCCTAGAAATGTAATCGCTTAATATTTTATGTTATATTATGTTTCTTAAAATTAGGTTACTAAATACCAACTCATCTAAAAACCTAAACTGTTGGAGATAGGATAACATTATTATTTATTATATTTCTAAGACACTCCATCACATGCGGTCAACCTTTTCTGCAAAGCAGTCCAAACACATACAAACATTTTTATTCTCTGATACCATATTGAAATGTGTTGACCACCACCTCACCTAAAAGTTTAAGCTGTTAGAGCGAGTGGCAACTTTATTATTTATATTATATTCTGAACACTTCTTTTTTTTTTGTGTGCCAATTGATAGAAGAGTAATTACAAATATAAGAAATATTATATGAAATAGGTCACTAGTCAAACAATAACTATAACATCAACTAGCCCAAATCCAACAGCCATTAATTGTTGAAAACTTGAGAGGATAACTAATTATTTAATTAAATCACAAATTAAATTTATGAAATAGATACGAATCCACAAAAATTGTATACAATAAATAATATAAAGGAACAAAAATCTTATTGGTAGAGGCATATAGCCACCGTCCCTAATAGTATATTTTTGCACCTCTGAATACATGACACAATGTGACAGGTTAATCATGTCTTACCCTCCATAATTCAACTACCCCTTCCCATAAGCGTGCACTCGCAATGTGACAGCTCGGGTGGAGACCCAACTCTTTTTACTTCTTTACGTACCTATATCGAATCATTTAGCTTGTGATTTGCATATTCTTATAGGGAATTGCTTGATTCTTTTCTCCGTCTTATCTTTGAAAACTTTGAAAAAGTTGAGGATGTGTTCCAACCTTGTTGTGTAGTTTGTTAGGCTAGCAATCAATTGCATTTGGGAGCGATAGATCGCTCTTTATTTTATTTCTGGTTGGATTCGGCAAAACATTGTGATCGAAAGGCAATCTCTCCCTCTAGAGAGATCACTCTAGAGAGTGCGATTGATCACTCTTCATACTTATCTTGGGTCAATTTTCAGTAGAATTCTCTAATCGATCTTAGTTGAGACATCATCGCTCTTGTAAGTGTGATCGATTGCATTGACTAAAAATCTGAATTTGAACCTGTATGGGCACAAAATATTCACATCACATGTACTCCTTGTGATCAAGCTTGAAGCTCTGTGAAACAATGTCGTTCTTCATGTAAAACAACTTTGATGAGCTACACAGCAGGTGTGTGCCAGAAAACCCCTCTAATGCTCAAGTCAGCACTCAAGCTCAATTTAGGGAAATCTTTGTAAATTCTGGGAGCAAAGATGCATTACCTCCATTAGGTTGACTCCTGAGCTTTTATATATTCCAGATAGTAGACACTTGGTAGGACTGTAATTCATTTTTCGTAGAATCTCACTAAGAATCATCTTCTTAAACGATAAAGCCTATCATTTAACACCCTTATCACCAAAATCATGTGAAACCAAGTAAAATAACATAACTCTTAGTCCCGCAATAAGGCTAAGAACGCCATTTCGATTAGTCAAGAACCGAGTAACCGTACTGAATGAACCTTGCTTGCCTTTATGACTACTGAGTAACATTTTACGATGTGCTAACCTTAGACACAAAACTCAGATTGGTTGTTCAACTCGGTCATATGGCCAACTCCTTCTTGTCATAAACCACCAAATGTTGTCCAATCTTCTAAAGATAGCATGGTCCCAAAGCCATTTTATCTTAGATTGACAGGGAGCACAAAACACAATCAATTTAGTTCGACCCAAACCCAAGGTCCATGTAAACTTAGCTCGGCCCGTTGCACGGCACAAACACAAGGCCCATGTAAACTTAACTCAGCTCATTGAATGGCCCAAAGCCAAGATCCACACAAACTTAGCTCGATCCATTTGCACGGTGCAAATTACCCTCTCAATTGACCCTTAATTCCATATGCTTTGGCAAGATTGGAATTACTCTGTCAAACCGAGCTAACCTTTTCTATTCAACCGAGCTAAATGCTTGGTCGGCTGCAATGTTTGTTTGGTCTGAAGTGTCTAGCCATCCGTACGTTACATTCGCCAACCACCTAAACATCACGTCCTTTTTGGGACATATGGCACTTGTTCAATAGATCTATGTAGCTGCTTCAGCCATCTCGCCCATTTCCCAAAAATTCAAATCATCACATCTGCCACTGTATTACCCTGGATGGTACAAAATCTACAAGTCATAATCCTTGATCAATTCAAGCCATCACCTCTGTCTCATGTTCAATTCCTTTTGAGTGAAGAAGTATTTCAAGCTCTTATGATCGGTGTACACCTCACAAGTTACCCCATACAAGTAGTGACGCCAGATTTTCAAAGCAAACACCACAGCTGCTAACTCAAGATCATGCGTTGGGTAATTCTTTTCATGCGGTCGGAGTTGTCTAGAAGCATAGGCAATCACTTTTCCGTTTTGCATTAATACACACCCCAAACCTTTGTAGGAAGCATCACTGTACACTTGAAACCCATCAATACCATTACGCAAAGTTAAGATTAGTGCAGTCACTAACCTGGTTTTCAGTTCTTGAAAAGCTGCCTCTCTTTGTTCACTCCAGTCAAATGGCACATTTTTCTGAGTTAATTGAGTCAATGGCAGGGCAAGCTTGGAAAAGTCTTTCACAAACCTCCTGTAGTAACCTACAAGTCCCAAAAAACTTCGAACTTCTGTCACATTTGTCGGTCTAAGCCAGTCCACAACAACTTCAATTTTCTGAGGGTCAACGGAAACTCCATCCTTGTTGATTATATGTCCCAAAAATGCCACACTGTCAAGCCTGAACT